GAATGGATTGCTTCGAAACAAACATCGTTTTATCGAGATGGTATCGCCCAGTTGCCAGAAAGATGGCAAAAAGTTGTAGAAAGTGATGGAAAATACTTTCATTGAAATAATTTAAATAAATTTTTTACAATAAATGCTTTTTCTCAGTATTTTTTGGGCGGAAACTAAGTTAAGGTCCTAATATTTATAACGAAAAAATACAAATATTCATTTGTTTTTATTGCAATCTAATAAATAAGCTGTTTTTTCATAAAATTATAAAGTATATTTTTCTGGTAAATAGATAATACTCACGATATTATATAATATAAATAGCTGATGAATATTTATACAATTTTTGTGTGAACAGGATTGCAGAGAAATTACTCCGAAGATGCGGTTGAAGCAGATGAGATGTTAAAGGAATCGCCACTTCCTATGCAACGAGGCAAACCTTCCAGGCCTCCTAGGAAGGGTTCCCTCTATGGATCGCATATTTTGGACAATGCAGTTAGCGAAGCTGAGATGAATGGATACGTAAATGGTGAGATGAACGGTGACATAAAGGACGATAAGAAGAAACGCGGCCGCTCACCTTTCCGGTAACTATGAATTATTGATGTGTGTGAGCATTGCCTCGAATCAATATTGCGAAAGATAAATTGACTTCGGTATTTTGACTTTGTTAGTAAGCTTAGCAAAGAAATGGAGGATGTCCCGTAAGTTGAAATATTTCTTCCAGATCTAAGATGAAAAATATTACATCATGAATTATTACATCATAAATAGTAATTTTTATGATATTCTGTTTAATGTCTCGTTTAGTGATTATTTGGATAATAATTATAGGTTTTTTATTAACAAGTTAATTAAAAAATTGTCGCATGTACAGGTTCTTCTCACGTAAAGCTAAATCTCCTGATGCAAAATCAAAGACACCCGAACCACAAGTTCGCTCGGACATCTCGGATAAAAGTACAAGAACAGTTGGGAGCAAAAGTGCCAAACCTCCTCAAGTTCGTGTTTCAACCGTGAGTTTTTCGTAGCTTTATATATATATATATATATATATATATATATATATATATACATATATATGCTACGAAAAAATATAAGTAGAAAAAATTTAACAATATGAAATAATATAATCTCTTTTCTCGTGTAGACGGACTTGAAAGTCGTGCCACCCCAAATCCCGGAGCGTAATGTCCCCAAGGCGATGTCTGTGTTAACTGGCACTGGTGTCGAAGCAATTGGCAATGAGATTTTCGACGCTGAGTGTATGAAGCTGATGAACGAATACTTCTACGGCGTTAGGATATTCCCTGGACAAGATCCGACTCACGTCTACGTTGGCTGGGTTACTTCGCAATACCATTTCCACACGAAGGACTTCAATTTGTCACGCGTGAGGAAAGGTTCCGTCGCTATCATTGATGAGTATGAGCGTCTCGTGGAGCAGTAAGTTTCTCAAGATATATTTATATTATAAGATATATCTCTCTTTACATATTTTCTTTCTATATAAAATTTAAAAATAATAATAATAATATTTAATGATTTTATAATAAAAAATAGCAAATAACTGCAGTGATTGCTAAATTGAAATCTAGCTTAATATTCTTTTTATTATATAATCTTTAAAAAAAAAGTATGAATTTAGAAGCTGCTCAGTGAAAATCGATGTTATAACATTGCAGAGTCGATAGACAAAGCTGCTACATGGTCCGAGCGGATGAACTGTACAATGAAGTCACTCAGGACGCATCAGGCAAAGGTGCGTCTCAGGGTATGTTTGTAGGATGCTTCGTCGATACTGCGACAGGCTGGGTATCCTTCACCTGCGAAGGAAAGGACACTAGTCACAAGTTCAAGATGGAACCGGATACGAAACTATTCCCGGCGATTTTTGTCGAGGCTACCAGTAAAGAGATCCTGCAGATCGAGCTCGGTAGGACCTCAACGACGCTCCCGCTTTCGGCCGCCGTGCTTCAGAATTCCGAACGACACGTGATACCCCAATTTCCGCCCAGACTGAAGGTGCAGTGTTTGAAACCGCACCAATGGGCTAGAGTGCCCAATCAGTCTCTTCAAGTGCACGCCTTGAAGCTGTCTGACATCAGAGGCTGGTCGATGCTGTGCGAAGATGCTATATCGATGCTCGCTCTTCATATACCCGAGGAAGATAGATGCATCGACATTCTGGAGCTTATCGAAATGGACAAATTACTCAGGTAAGAAATTAATCACATAACAGATAATACTAACAGATAGACATAATTTCCATATAAAGATATTGGAAAATTTTTAATCTTTTTTTCCATTTAGAGATATTGGAAAAATTTTAATAAGCATTGTAAAAAACAAATAGATACTTGACGTTTTTTGTTTTTAACTAATTTCAAGTAATTCTTTCATGAAGATATTGTTCTACTTTTTCTCTTTATAATTTTGTAAAATTAGTATATGTTTGATACTAATAAAATAATTTGTTCTCGTGTAGTTTCCATGCGCACACATTAACGTTGTATGCAGCCTTGTGCTATCAATCGAATTACCGAGCGGCGCACGCTTTGTGCCAACACGTTGATCAGAAACAATTGTTGTACGCGATACGAGCCGAATACATGTCCGGGCCCCTGCGACAAGGATTTTACGATTTACTTATCGCCTTGCACCTTGAATCACACGCAACTACGATGGAAGTGTGCAAGAACGAGTATATAATACCGCTTGGTGAGTAATTCTACAAAACTGAAAGAAATAAACGAAAAATTTTACGATGAGTTACATTTAATTAAGTTATATATATACTTAAAATATATATTAAAATATATATTTTAAAATCTCAATTAGAAATATTCTCTTAATTTTGAATTAGTATTTAAGTTTTGAGAAAGCATCTCATACTATCGATTTAAAGTATTTAGTGCTTGGAATTATTTACATTTTCGAGGCAATTTTCAAGGCTTCCACGTTTAATTTTTCTCTTGTATCTTCCGCTCACCTGTCAAACGTACGATTGACGGTCGCTTAGCCTCAAGATCATCAACTCTATATTCTCTCTAATTTTTGAAAAATACGTGTAATATGTGTTATTTCTATAGAATATTATGTTTTTATCTACATTACCAGCATATTTATATTATTAAGATTATAACGATAGAACAGTAGTTTTAATAAGAGCTTTCTAGAAATTAGAGAGAGTTCTTTCAAGTATTATAAAGATGACGGTTCTGAAGTTAAGCGCCATGATAATCAGTCGTGAGACTCTCAAGTACCCGACTAGAAATTTGCCCTTGGACTACAGAATAAATTTCTAGTTGAATAATTTTGAGCATATACTAGCCTAATTAAATAAAATACTAGGAAAAATACATTTATCGAAAACATCTGTTCCTTTTATATTCTATTCTGTTACAATCTGTTTTGTGCATAGGTCAAGAACTGAAGGATCTGTACGAGGATTATGAGATGAAGCACAGTCTCAGATATTTGGAAACCGAGTCAATTCGGCCGCAGATGAAAATGACAGAAATCAGGTAAGTAAAATTTTTCCCAAAATAGATGTGAGACCCCTACTAATCAGTCGCCATCAAGGGATATTCCTTCCAGTGATCAGGCGATCGAAAACATACGCAATCTGTACAGTCCGCACTTCCCGCTCGACATCGTGCGGGATTACGTGATGATGGCACTCAACGAAGCCGTCGAAGTGAATCAGGTGCACAATCGAGATCCGATCGGAGGCAGCAACGAGAATCTCTTCCTGTATGTAAGATAATAAGTACGGCTGCTGCTGTTGTTGCTGCCGCTGCCGCTGCTGCGACTAATGTTCTTCATTATTGTTACCGAAGCGACGATTATATATTACATTAGCATATATATTTTAAAATGTTAATGAAAAACAGAATCTGCAAAATCTTTATCTCAATCTTTCTTTCTCTTCTAAACAGGAATTTCTGACTTTCTGCTTATTGCTTATGGTCTCTCTCGCTTGATCAAAGGTTTCTTTATACATTTCTTGTATTACAGACCTCTTCTGAAGTTGGTAGATAGATTACTCTTAGTGGGCTTGCTGAGAAATAAAGATGTATTCAATCTGCTCATCATGATAAATCCCGAAACTTGGGACCCGACTTTTGATAAAGGTGAGAATAAAATGTTACATTTAACAAAATTTATTTGATCGGCAAACGTTTGTTAATCAAGCGTTGACACACAGCATACCGACACAAGCTGATTGAATATTGTATTAAAATATTACAGAAGGAAAGGATGAGCATAGAAAAGGCTTATTACACATGAAAATGGCTGAAGGCGCTAAATTACAAATGTGCTACCTGCTTCATCATTTGAACGACATCCAGCTGCGCCATCGTGTCGAGTCCATCATCGCCTTCAGTCACGACTTCGTCGGAGAGTTGCAGGCCGATCAGTTGAGACGTTACATCGATATTAAGCAGTCGGATTTGCCGTCAGCCGTTGCCGCCAAGAAGACACGTGAATTCCGTTGTCCTCCGCGCGAACAGATGAACGCTATTCTAAGCTTTAAGAATTTTGACTCCGAGGAAGATCCAGACAATTGCCCCTGTGGCGAAGACTTGATAGTGAAGATGAATGAATTTCATAGCGATCTGATGTCATATGTATCCTTGCACGCTCTTCAGGAAGCGGCTGATGCCGCAAACGAATCAGACGAAGAGATTCAAAAGCCAGGAGCCATGAAACGTCTCTTCAATTTTATCAACGCGGTCAAAGAACTTGAAGAAGAAGCTAAGCCTGAACCCGAGCCTGAAAAAAAGACTCCCGAAGGTGAGCTCTTTGATTTACCTTGTTTAATAAGTCGAACTTTGAATAAATAGGTTTCAATGTATAATATGTAAATAAATAATGAAATTTGTCTTTTTACAGAGGTGTTCCGCAAGGTGCTGATATCAACTATAGTAAAGTGGGCTGAGGAGTCACAAATCGAGACGCCGAAACTCGTGCGAGAAATGTTTAGCTTGCTAGTTAGACAGTACGACACTGTTGGTGAATTGATTCGAGCCTTAGAGAAGACCTATGTTGTCAACAACAAGACCAAAAATGACGTCGCGCTGATGTGGGTCGGTCTCAGCCAAATTCGCGCCTTGTTGCCGGTGCAAATGTCCCAGGAAGAAGAAGAGCTAGTCCGAGAGAGATTATGGAAGTTAGTGAACAATCACACTTTCTTCCAGCATCCCGATCTCATCCGAGTGCTGAGAATTCACGAGAACGTGATGGCCATCATGATTAACACCTTGGGAAGACGTTCTCAGGCACAGTCTGACGCTCAGACTCAAGCGCAAGCGACCGAAGGCGAACCAGCATCGAAGGAGAAGGACACTTCTCATGAGATGGTCGTGGCATGCTGTAGATTCTTGTGTTACTTCTGCCGTACATCTAGGCAGAATCAGAAAGCCATGTTCGATCATTTTGATTTTCTGCTGGAGAACAGTAACATCTTGCTGGCCAGACCCTCGCTGCGAGGATCGACACCGTTGGACGTGGCTTACTCTTCGCTGATGGAGAACACCGAATTAGCATTGGCCTTGAGAGAACATTACCTGGAAAAGATCGCTATTTATTTGTCACGTTGCGGCCTGCAGTCGAACTCGGAACTAGTGGAAAAAGGCTACCCTGATTTGGGCTGGGATCCTGTCGAGGGTGAACGTTACCTCGACTTTTTGAGATTCTGTGTGTGGGTTAATGGTAAGACATTTTGTCATTTTTTATCATTTACTTCATTTAATATTTTATTTCGAAAGTAACACTATATGCTACTTTTTTCTGTTTATTTAATGATATCAGGTGAAAGCGTAGAGGAGAATGCCAATCTGGTGATCCGTTTGCTAATCAGAAGACCAGAATGTCTGGGTCCTGCTCTTCGAGGTGAAGGTGAAGGTCTATTGAGAGCTATTATGGAGGCCAACAAGATGTCCGAGCGCATTGCTGATAGGCGAAAAGTAAGTCATACTAAAATTGATTTCAATACATCTTTATCTACTCGGTCACAAACTAGAAATAATAATCAAATTGTTTCGTAAGTAGGAAGCAACTTTTTTCCGATTGTCGTTTTAAGCAGAATCTACATATTGCATTATCGATTCTATGCGTACTCAAAATATCACGAACATAGATATATGTTTTCCTCAGATAATTACCCCAGTTTTGCTCTTTTTCAACAACTTACTTGGCCCTTCTTTTTTTTCTGGCCCTTAGATATAGAATATGCGTGATTTGATACCCCTGTGGCATTTTGATATGCTTTGTAGTGAGACAACCTTCTTGAGAGTCATTTCAACTTAAAGCTCTCAGGATTCGTGATTAACACGATTAAATTTCCAAAGACGCGTCAGTTTCTTTAAATATGGCACGCATAAAGTATGACTATGCAACAGTGTCGCGTTGAAATTTACCTTTTACAATACTATTATTACGCATGTGCACGAACTTTCATTAATACGGTATCAACTTAGTACTTCGCACAGGTGCACGACGAGGCCGAGGGAACAGCTATGGTAATGCAATTCGAGCATCCACTTCCCGAGTCAGATGACGACGAAGACTACATTGATACGGGCGCAGCGATCCTGTGTTTTTACTGTACTCTTGTCGATCTGTTAGGTCGCTGTGCTCCGGATTCTTCTGTCATAGAGCAAGGTAAAAAAACAGTTCAATAATCTCGACATTTTTCATCTTCATTAATAAAATATTTATATCTTCATCATATTTAATTTATATAAAAATATAATTTAAATTCAAGTAAATAATAATTAACATTAGATATAATAATAATGATAATAAGTAGTTTTAATAAGTAATTTTTTTCAATAATAAATTATTTATGATTTATATCTTCATCATTTAATTTATACGAAAATATAATTTAAATTTGAATAAATAATAACTAGCATTAGATTCAATATCCTCATTTAGGCAATTATCACAAATGACAAGATAGAAACATTATGTTGCTTTGCAATTGCGAGCATCAACTTTCGAATCAAGTCATACCTCACACCTTCATTGCCATGTACACTTTTTGCGATGTAAAGTCGCGTAAAAATTTTATTGCATGCAAAATACAGTGAATAATCTAATAACAGCGTTTATTTTTGCTTTCTTAATGGGCAACAGAGGTCTCTACAAAATCTGTTGGTAATACATGTAACGAAACTTTGCTTCAATAAAACGGTATTGAGACGACGCTCGTTGCCTGAAGCTGCGCAATCATTTCAGGGAAGAACGAATCTCTTCGTGCTCGGGCGATCTTGAGATCGTTAGTGCCTCTGGATGATCTTCAGGGTGTGCTGTCTCTACGATTTACTTTGCTCAACCCTGCCGCAGGCGAGGAACGACCGAAAAGTGATATGCCATCCGGTTTGATACCAGGACACAAGCAAAGTATCGTGCTATTCCTCGAGCGCGTTTATGGTATCGAGACACAGGAATTGTTCTACAAGATATTGGAGGAAGCCTTCTTGCCAGATTTACGCGCCGCTACAATGCTCGATAGAGTAAGAATCGCGTCATATTTTATCTACTTTGCGCGCGATATATTTATTCGTTGTTATCTTATTTCATAATTATTCATTTAGCTATTATTTTAAAATTATAAAACTAGAGTATTCCTAATTGTGAGCATTGGCATTAATTCAAATAAATTTCTCCCTATGTTTCCTGATATTCTGATTTATTTGATATTTTAGGCTTTCGCGGTGCCATGCATATTAGATTTGGTTTCCGAGTTTGAGTCGCGTGGATTCTGCTTTGTTTGATTCTGATTTATTCTGATTTAATTCCTTGCAGAACGACGGCTACGAATCCGACATGGCACTCGCTATGAACCGCTACATAGGAAATAGTATTCTACCGTTGCTGATCAAGCATTCGAAATTTTACAACGAAGCGGACAACTATGCGAGCTTACTCGACGCTACATTGCACACGGTTTATCGACTAAGTAAAAACCGTATGTTGACGAAAGGACAGCGAGAGGCCGTCTCAGATTTCCTCGTTGCCTTGACTAGGTAAGTGAAGATTGAAAACTGTCGGCGCGCGCTTGGTTTTTCGAGCGAACCATGCGACTAATATACTTTTATTGGAATGGCCGAAATCAAGACTGATGCACTGAAGGCGCTTCCGATATTCGTCTGATCGGACTAGTATCGGACTGGATCGTACGTCTCGCGAGACGCCTTATGAGTGTCGCAAGTGCGACGGAGATTAAGTCCCGTGTGGATTTAGAAGGCGAGCGTGGCTCGTGCGATAAGTGTCGCAAAGGCGACGGAGGCTAAGTCACGTATGGACTTAGAAGCGAATGTAGCTCGCTTAAGAAGTGTCACAACCGTCGACGGAAATATAAACTCATCGCACATGAAATGACATAGCTGCATAGCATAAAATCGTATGGACTAAGGGCTATCGCACACAAATTGACATAACTGCATATGCATAGCATAAGATCGTATGGACCAATGAGCATCGAATATTAAGCATCGAACACCAATATGGCGACTTAATACTCGATGCTCATTGGTACATACGGTCTTATGCTATGCATATGCAGTTATGTCAATTTGTGTGCGATAGCCCTAATGAGCATCAAGTATTAAGTCGCCATAATGATGCTTGATGCTCAATACTTGATGTTCATTGGTCCATACGGTCTTATGCTATGCATATGCAGTTGTCATTTTATGTGCGATGGGCTTATGGCTCCTGCACATAGAACGCGGTAATGCTTGTCGCGCGGCGGAAGTCCGCGACAGCCAATCAATATGTTGTTTTTCCGTAAGAGCTAGAAGGTTATTACGAAAAGCAGTATATTGATTGGCTGTCACGCGAACTTCCGCCGCGCGGCAAGCATTATCGCGTCCTATGTGCAGGAGCCATTAGGACCTCCACACACAAATTGCCATAGCCGTAACGTAAGATGTACCGTAAGAATTGACCAATCACATTGAAAATCGTCAAACCGTAAAGTCGCCATTTTGATGAATATTCAATAGTAATTAGTCAATTCTTACGGTACGTCTTACGTTATGGTTACGGCAATTTATGTGTGAAGACTATTAAGTTCCGTGTGGATTTAGAAGCAAACGTGGCTCGCGCGGTAAGGGGCGCCGCACACGAATTGACATAACAGTAACGTAAAATGTACCGTAAAAATGGACTAATTACAATCAAGTATTCACAAAAATGGCGACCTTACGGTTCAACGATACTCAAAGTGATTGGTCAATTCTTACGGTACATCTTACGTTACTGTTATGTCAATTCGTGTGCGACGTTCCTAAGGACCTCCACATACAATTGACATAACAGTAACGTAAGACGTACCGTAAGAATTGACCAATTACGATCGAGTATTAATCAAAATGGCGACCTTACGGTTCGACGATTTTCAATGTAATTGGTCAATTCTTACAGTACATTTTATGTTACTGTTATGTCAATTTGTGTGTGAAGGTCCTAAAGGTCCTCATACATGAAATGACATAACTGCATGTGCATAGCATAAGACTGTATGGACCAATAAGCACTGAGTATTTAGCCGCCATATTGATGCTTGATGCTCAATACTCGATGCTCATTGGTTCATATGCTATGCACATGCAGTTATGTCATTTCATGTGTGAGGGCCTTAAGAGCCGTGGCACACAGAAAAACTTAAGCAGTAAGACGTAAGCAGTAAGTAAATTGACTAATCACAGTCGTTGATTCTTGGACCGTAAGAAAAATCAGCGACTGTGATTGGTCAATTTGCTTACTGCTTACGTTTTACTGCTTAAGTTTTTCTGTATGCCTCTAGTCTAAAGGGACGTCTACATTGGAAGTAAACAGTAAGAAGTAGGAAATAAGAATAAGAAATTGACCAATCATAGTTGATTATTCTTCTCAGATTCAACTGTGGTTGGTCAATTTCTTACTCTTACTTCCTACTTTTTGCTATGCCCTTGAAGGGACGTCTACATTAGAAGTAAGCAGTAAGAAGTAGGAAGTAAGAATAAGAAATTGATCAATCATAGTTGATTATTCTTCTCACATTCGACTGTGGTTGGTCAATTTCTTACTCTTACTTCCTACTTCTTGCTATTTACTTCCAATGTAGACGTCCCTTTATGCGTAGTCTACAATGGCAGTAGGAGTAGTAGTAAGAAATAAGTAGTAAGCAAATTGACCAATTCCATTCTCACGTTTAAAAAATAATCGATTGTGATTGGTCTGTTTACTTACTGCTTATTTCTTACTACTTTACGCATTATGCGTCGTTTACAATGGCAGTAGGAGTAGTAAGAAATAATCAGTAAGCAAATTTACCAATTCCATTCTCACGTTTCAAAAATAATCGATTGTGATTGGTCTATTTACTTACTGCTTATTTCTTACTACTACTCCTACTGCCATTGTAGACGACGCATAAGGCCAGTATTCATAGTCGAATCTTATTTCAAGACCGTCTTAAGTAATAGTCTTAAAATGCGAATACAGCTCTGTGATTGATTCATGACATCTTAAGATGATCTTATGATTAAGTACTTAAGATGATCTTAAATATAAGATCGGACTATGAATACCGGCCTAATGGCTTCTGCACAGAACGCGGTAATGCTTGCCGCGCGGCGCAAGTTCGTGCGACAGCCAATCAATATGCTGCTTTCCGTAATAACCTTCTAGCTCTTACGGAAAAACAATATTTTGATTGGTTGTCGCGCGGACTTTCGCCGCGCGGCAAGCATTACCGCGTCCTGTGTGCAGGAGCCATAAATGTCGCAAGCGCGACGAAACGAAGTTCCGCAGGACTGCAAACGATATCCGCGGTGCTCGAAATATCACTGAAGAAAACGTCCACGCAAGGTTGCGTTCCAAAACTCTACTCGACGGGTAGAGTAGCATTTAATTAACCAATAAGAAAAAAGATAACTAGGATTTCTTTATCATGATTGGTCAATTAAATGCACTCTACCCACCGAGTGGAATTTTGGAACGCAGCTCAAAGGTGGAGGCTGCAGAGTAATCTCGCGAATTTTTCTTCTCAACCAGTTGGTAATATCGAGGAAGTGAAGGAACAATGGCTGCATTCAGTAGACTCAACAGTTGCACAACAGTTGAGTAATTTGTCAATGTAATTGGTCTAGATTTAGGGATCTAATAGCAAGAACCAATAATCGTTGATTGCTCACTGAGCGCTTTTTCTACTGAATGCGCCCAATGATGAAAGAATAGTGAGAGTGCGAGCGTAGCACAGTAGTCTAGCATGCTAGAAGTCCCGGGTTCGCGATACCCAGTAGAAAATTTTCATATGCTAGTACTTCTCTCGGAAGGCAATAGCAAAACCTCCGAGAATATAGGATAAGTTAAATATTTAGGATAAGAAGAGTTTGTAAGGAAAACGAAAAGAGGAAAGAGTAAAATGAAACGAATGTGAAGGAAGTTTGTTCAAATAATCTCTTGTCCACAAACTTGCTTTAATTTTTAAGCCGTAAGAAATTGACCAACCACAGTTCATTATTTTTAAAATAATCGACCGTGGTTGGTCAATTTATTACGGCTTAAAGATTAAAGCAAGGTTGTGGATAAGCCTTCTTGGCTAAATGTAAAAGCTGAAATAATAAAGTTTTTTCTTTTGAAAGAATATAGTGAAAAAAACACCAAAAATAACCTCGCCGAACAAGCGTCCGTATAGAGGGCGGCGTAATGTGCTACGAAACAGACACTTTGAAAAAACTTCGAACAGTCACTCGCCCCGATTTATACAGGATGTCCTAAAACCACCGGAATTGCTCTTAATGGTAGATTCCTTACAATATTTTAAGAAGAAAATTCTAATACAAAAATGTCGAGGCTATAATAGCTTTTAAACGGGAAGCGATTACATTTAACGAATGGCAGAGCTGAGATTTCACGCGCTCAGGTACGGAAAAATGACAAATGCAAAAAGTGCTCCTATTAATGGGGTGCTCTTTTTATGATATTATTGTCATATAAGTTTACAATATGTTTTCGCTTCTCTATGTATTGCATATTAATACATTTTTTCACAAATAAAAGATGTAAAAACTAAAGGCATATCAAAAAGAATTCAAATAAAAATTTGCATATTTCAATTTGAGCTGTCAAAGTCATCGATTAACATTACTATAAAAGTGTCCACGCTACGCTGTGCGAGACAAATAAATTGTAATAGAATTAATAGCTGTTTATTTTGTATTTTAAAACATTTTTAAATGTTCGTAACGAAATACAAATTGCAATGGTTAGTAAAAATCAATTTAAACAATAATTATAATTCAAACATATTTAATAAATCTTAATTTAACACACTTTAAAAAATTAACACTGTTAACATATTTAACGAATTTTAATAACAACAAAACAGTTCAACAGATTAAATAACAAATTAAAATATTTTTTATAATAAATGTTTAAAGTGCCCACTATCGCATTTAATACATAATTGTGCGGGTCACAATAGACTGCTTGTTGCGTTTATAATTATGTTTGGTGTTATTTCAACAATTTTACCTTACAATTCCTCGTGATTATTAACTGGCTATTTATGTATACATGTTTTTTAGTATGATCGCATATTAAAGAATATGTGTACAAGAAACCAATTAATATTCACGAGGAATTACGAGACAAAATTGTTGAAGCAATCGCCACCAAACGACACCAAACATGATTAGAAACGCAACAAGCAGTCTACTGCGACGCGCACAATTGTGTATTGAATGCGATGAGGGACATTTTGAACATTTATTATAAAAAATATTTTAATTTGTTATTTAATCTGTTAAACTGTTGTTATTAAAGTTCATTAAATATGTTAAAAGTGTTAATTTTTTAAAGTGTGTTAAATTAAGGTTTATTAAATACGTTTGAATTATAATTATTGTTTAAATTGATTTTTATTAAAACCATTGCAATTTGTATTTCGAACATTCAAAAATGTTCTAAAATACAATAACAATGTTCTAAAATAAAACATATAAATAAACAGCTATTAATTCTATTACAATTTATT